CTTCGGAAATCTAATTCTTCCCACCTCTCTTCGCCGTTTTTAACATTCTTGAGGAAGTGAATGAATAGGAACCTGATTTTTATTGAGAGAATTACTTCACCTCATTCGAAGCGAGCGATATTCGTAGCCGCACACTATTAGCCCAACTTCCGTCGAGGTCTTATGTGCTGTGGTCTTACCATAAATTGCGTACGACGTACTATCTCGCGTTCTTCCCTCTCCTCGCAGCGCTGTGTCTCTCCGTCGTACTACGGCCGGCCTCCTAAGGGAAATTTAGTGTTTTCTATGGTGCTTTTTGCTTTTTCTCCTCACTAATGTTCCTCATTGCACCCCTTGCCTAATGTTTGAACAAAATAAAGCATCAATTCAATCCCGACTCGTGCCTTTAAACGATGGACGTTAATGTTGCAGGAAAGTGTATCGTATGCAGTTTCAGTGATCCGGGGAAAACTGTTTTAGGGAAAGCTATGACCTCTTTACATCTTAATTTTCGCCCCCGCGGCCACTTTCAGCAGCTGCTTTCCGCCGCATCGCGAACTTCGACGAAAAACAACAGCTAACAAAACAAAACAATGTAAAAACAGCTGCAATATTTGCTTGAACTTTCAGCTCACGCGACTCTGCTAATGTGCGGGCTGGCTCGTCACCGCGCGCGGAGTGTTGGTAATGTCCAGTGAATATATCCTCAGCAGACAATTCATCAAAAGAATTCCAATTCATTTCATCACGAATTGGAATTCTTTTAATGACGCTAGTTCTGAAGCGGAGTTTACGATGGAACGGCAACCCACTATAGATCAGGTAGAGGTGGACAATCATGCAAGGGATGTAGAAAACACCAAAAAAATACTGGAACCCCTGAAATGGCACCCCCTTCCGCCGTTGAGATGCGCGTTGAGCGACGACAGCGGCGCGGAGACAACCATTCGAGATCGCCGGGGCATATCCTTCGCCACGAGTTGCGTGCCGGTCCGCACACTCAGGGCGTCCGCCTGTCCGCCTGTCTTTCCAGGCTGGTTTCCCCTTTCATCAACTTCCAACCTTATCGTGGAATCCTCCTTCGAATTTCCGATTTCGGCCATATGTGATGGGCAAAGGACAGGCGAGGATATTGCAACAAAGCGAATCTAGAGCGATTTAGAGAGGAGCATCCAGAAAGATTTCGAATGGAAATTCAAAGCTTCAAAATAGACGATGTGGGTTTGTCCGTAAAATTTTGTAGAATCCTATAAACTCGGGAAAGGAAAAGCTCTCGTATGTGCGAAAAAAGCGTCCGAAAGTAGCGGAAGATCCTCTAGCACATCACGAACGGTATACATCTGAAGACATCGCATATAAACGGATCTCCAACTAGTGGAACTCCTTTTTCCCCGCTGAAAGTCCGAAGAAGCAAAAAAGGAGATGACGATGAGCCAATTTTTTGTCCGCTATCACATAGGAAAAATGAACTCTCTACCGATTTTAATGTAACGAATTATTTGATTGATATTAAACCGAAGGAATGCAATGCAAAAACAAAACAGCTCGAATGGATTGCTGAAACCTGCAATTCAGAAAGCATGCGATGGAATTCTGTCGGGTGCTATTCGGGCAGAAATCGAATTCTGTAGGGTCTGTGTGCAGAGCGCTACCGTGCCCATGGGCTTCCACATCTATGAGTATTATTCTCGAACTTGGACCACATTTTTTGTCACCATATTTATGCCCCACCCAATGTAATACCGCCGCTTTTCCTTTACTTTTTATTGTTTTGTGATTGCGTTTTTCTGTGACATTCGGCTGCCCCGCGCAGTCACCAATGGAATGTGGCTCGTGCAAGTGCGAGTTTTTAAAGTATAATCTGGTTGGTTCGGACTCTTCAAAGGGTCATGACAGTTCATTCTTTACGTTCTGCACACTTCACCACACAGGTGTGCCTGTGCACTTGAGAGAAACTAAAACAATTCTAATTTAATGACGTGGACTGCCAAATCCTCCTGAGCAGCGCATAACATGTTGTGCCATTTCCAATTTCCCTAAAAAAGTCTGTACACAGTTCTTTGTCACCAGGGGCCTAAAAATGAACTGCTTCTCAGTCAGATTCAATTTACCATATTTTGACAATCTCGTGACTGCAAAACGAGTTTCTTGTTTTAGGTCAAGGTAGTCGATGAGATTAGGCACAAGAGAAGATTTTGTGGTGAATGAGATTTTTTGATTTTTTCTCCAAAGCTCAACTTTTGATGGAAGTTTTCACTTCGAGTCAGATCCTGCAGCTGGACCCCAATTTCGACTTGCAACGCTGACATTAGGCAGTACTAAACAGGATCGTGTTCGCGTCATACTTATTAATCACGGTCTCACCGCTAACTGTAAAGTTTAGGAAATAGCGAACTGAAGAGTTAGAGGATGATTTATGGAAAATTTATCGTCGTTCGCTCTTACAGTCTTGTATGAAATTGGGTTCCCGAACTCTCGAGCCTTTCCATTCTTAACTGCCTCAGTGTTGAGAGAACGTAAAAATTGTTACTTTATTTTACCGTTCAATTCTCATACCAAGTTGCAGTGGAGGGAAGGTACGAGGGGGGGGGGGTTGAGAATTGTGGGCAGAGTCCTGTCCGTCGCTTGCGTCGGAATTATTCAAAAGCTCAAAATCCAAAAATGGCTTCAAAAAGGCTTCAAAGAGCCTTTTTTTTAACTTTCCGTATTTGCCATCTTATGGGTTGTTGTTTTCTCCAGATTGTTCACATCACTTCATTTTTGGTCTCACAGTATTTCAACTCAGAATGCGTCGATTTTGGTCTTGACGCGCATTTTGTGCCACACACGCCTTTTGCACATGACCATGTACAGTCGCATGGGTTTCGCAATCTACCAACTTTCACCAACTCCAATCACATTTTCGGCTTCCGATGAAAGCTGACGCTAGAATTCAGCATTTTCCCGCTGAATCAGGAATATTGCTTGGGCTCCGCAGCGCTCGCAAGCACCACAAAATAACAACGAAAAAAAAGTTCCTTAGCTTTCAAAAATCTCTTGGAAACTTCAAGCTTTCAAAAATCTTTTGGAGACTTCATTCTCTTTCGCGTAATTCCATGTACCTATTGTGCTACTTTTCTAGTAATTAAAGAGGAATTTCTTTGGGTTAAAAAGTTTGTCCCTTGTATGTACACAAAGTTCAAAGCTGTTCTTATTGAGTCCATGATGTATTGGTTTACTGAAAAGTCAAGTCCCGTGCCACATCAATTTAGCTTTTTTGGACAGCAAGTTAATAAGTTTTTTCAAATTGTCGATCGTATCTGTGGTCTAGACGTGCTAGAGGGTACTGAATCTGTAGTTTTGCATGGACACTTTCCTCCTCTTTCGAGAATCATGTGCTGGAATTGTAGCGAAGCTTGCAAGTTTGAGTTTTGCGGCTACCATATGTTATTGATTGGAATAGAAAAATATCCATTAATCTTTGCAAAAGGAAAGAAACGGCAGCAAACTTTGACTTTTTGATTCTTTCACTGGCAATGTAAATTTATGATGTGGATTAACAAAGGAATTGAAGTTGTGGAACAGCTGAAGTTGCTTTGGCACAACACTGGACAAAACACCTGTTCGCACGTATCATAAATTGGTTTCCATTACGCTCACGAATTGCACTAGTTACTCTAAAAGTGAATTGGGTTGTGAAAAAGTCGCTGGAAAGAAATGAGTGGAGGTGGGGGGGGGGGGTGGAATCTGGCTAATTGTATCCGCTTAGGTCTGCTTATCACTCTTCGATGGGAAAGGTAACTAATTCAAACATGGCTGAATGATTTGCTATTTTAGGCTGTTTTTGCATTCATTCTTACTGCTCGCGATGCTGATGTACATAATGATGGCGTCGTAAAAGGTCTTGGGGCTCAAACCGGAATTCAGAATCCAACTATTCCTATTTCTTGCTTTTAACAGTATTTGTCGTTCACTTCATTTCATCCCCAATGACGGTGTCTATTGGTCGAGGCCACTAACCAGTTTCATAGCGAGCAGATACTAAAAATATGTTCGCTCTTTGGTTGGTTATAAATGACGCAGTCACCAAGGGATTAAGTGAATTATTTAGGAAGCGTGCACGTAAATACCGTGCATCATGCTAAACTAGTGATAGCTGCAAAGGCCCTGAAGCTTGTGCAATGTAGTAGGTTTCTTACCGCAGCCCTAGAATGTCCGTGAAGTCTGTACAGGAGTATTTAAGGATGGAGTTTCACCCCAGATTTCAAGTTTTCCATCATCGATAATAAGATTTGCATTCATTTCTCTACCCAATACTCAAAATACATCTATTCCAGTTGGGAGCGGCATCAGAAGGCAGATCTTCCAGAAAGGTCAACTCCGAGTCAGGAGGAGTGTAGCAGGAGTGCTCGAGTTCACACTAGTTTACCGAGGAACTGCATTATTATTCCCCCCCCCCTAAGTGGAAAAAACTCATGACAAACTATGTTTCAAATACCTACACCTAATTGTAGGGGCCTAGGCGATAGATGGATACATGTCTTACTATGGCGAAGATCACAGTTAGGCTGATGCGCTGAGGAACCTGGGCTGTTTATTCGTCCCTTGGTTTTTTGCATTCGTAGTAGTGACATTCATCTGGCAGGGATTCATTTTCATTGCTATCCGATATGATTCACACGATTGCTGTTATTTTCTTTTCGGGCAACTACTCTCCGTTGTCTGAACGACTTCACGATATGAGTATCAAATAGAAATTCTTGAGAATTCCTACAAGACATTCACTCGCGTTCCTGTTCATTGGCCAATGTTGAGTTACCTTAGTTAACATCTAGCGCTTCTGAGATTTTTATTTTCCCTTCCTTATTCATCGTACCAGAATGAAATTTACTCAAGCTCGTGAATTTGGACTGAGCGTTTCAAGCTCAGCTGCCCCTCTTCAGGCCAGCTCTTCTTTACTTATTGTCTGCATTTACTCCTTCTCCCTACATCGCAAAGTCGTTAATGATGAATAACGCCAGCTTTAGAGGAACCAAATAACTATGGCCATGGTCGAATCGATCCTGCGATCACTTCGATCTCGTCGCCGTCGGCCATCAAGTGTTGTCGTAAAACAAGTCAAGGAGGCAAACTCAGTGAACGTTGCAATAGAGAACGAATTGGCGCTTTTGAATAAGCTGCACGATCGATCCAATTCTCCGTTGATCACTATGAGCCGTTTGGTACCAAACGATCGTTCCAAATCGCCTCGAAAATCGAAAGATGATAGTAAATCTTCTCGAAAACCCTTACGAGACGTTAACCAACAGCAGCCGATGGAGAAGAAAGCTTCGAAAAAGAACAAAGGTCAGTTTCTCCTTGCTTTTATCCTCTCGTAGAGATTTGATGGTTTTTAAGCCACGGTTCTCAAATTCGAAATGTCAGCTGACTAAACTGCCCTCTAATTTTTCTAAACTCCCCAGCGGATTTTTTTGTTGTGGCAGCGATGCACTTTCTCGCATTTAAAATCGATCGCAGCTCATTCCAGCGTTTAAACTCCTGGACATTCCATCATCCGTTCACGCTGCACCCTTTGAGGGTTGACCTTTCACAGAAAATCTAACCATCATTTTCAAAGTCGCCATTTTGAGGGTTAGCTGACAACCCTTGTCCTAGTAAAGCTGATTCTAGACAGCAATGCTACTTTGTCAGACAAATATTGCTGATGAGCTTGACGGGATTCTATGCTTTTGGTCATTCCCTTACCGAGCTCATGCATAGGGTCTTATTGCTGTTTTGGATGTGCCCCGATTTTCTCAATCACCACTGGGTATTTGCGTGCATACGGTCATTATCGACTTGTGCAGCAGGATACCAGCAAGTTTGTCATTTGAAATGCAGTGAATGATCCGCCGCTCTGATAATAAAGCGCTCTTGAAGGCTTCTGCTTGGAAGTCGTCATGATGTAACCTGATGTCAAACCTCAACAGACCAGCATCTCAACGTGTGCAATTTGAATCTTTCGTACGCTCAACCAATCATATCAGTGTACAGTTGTCCCTAATTCAGTTTGTGGTATTTTGTGATAATATTTACAAATTTATTTGGGATAATCTCGATGGGTAAGGGCGCATACTAAGGCTGGTGTTAGAGTCCGCGATCCGTCGCAGGTTTCGCTGATTTTCGCGATTTGCGCGATCGCGATTCACGCGACGGGTCACGGAAATCACAAGTGCCCGATCAATACTGCAAGGTGTTCTCCAATCCTGCCGCCACTTCTGCTTGATAGTGATGGCTGAATGACGACTGCTCATGATTCCACTTGTTTCATATTCAGTGTTTCAAATGTTCAATGAATTTTTGCGAATTTCGCGCAAATCGCGAAAATCAGCGACACCTGCGACAGATCGCCGATTTTGACACCAGCCTAAGTGTTTTTTCCCGCTTATTTCATCACTTCATCACTCACTCCAAGTAGTGTCAATATTGACGTTGATGATATTTTCGTTTTGTATTTGTGGTTGAATAGAATCAGGGGCAGCTGTCATGATAATGGTGAAGCTATCAGCGGAGGCGCCGTTTTATTGTAACGGCGTGTCCGACGCGTTCTTCGGTTTCGTAAGCATCGTCATTGTGTGTATGTGCTGTGCTTTGCTGGCCATCCCAGCTATTACAGCAGCCAGGATCTCTAGTCGGAAATTTGTTCTTCTCTCTCCAACACCCCAATCGCCACCATCGCTTGCAGCGCTACGATTGGCAGCTGATAACTTCCTCTCTCTTGTATGCCTCCTGCTACCTCATGCACGTTTGCGAACTGGTAGAGTTCTTATGATGTCGAATGGAGAGCATCGAATGGCTAACCGAAATCCTGCCTGAGCGCCTGATCAGCAATGGACTGCTGACTCAGTTCATCCCCAAGTACTGGAGCGTATGGGTACTGTTCGCTATCGTCGCTTACCTCTATATTACTCGTCCATTACCACTGGGACCTGAATGTCGGCAGCAACCATGTCTCGACACTACAACCGAGCTTGAGCTCACACCACCACCGCCAACACCAACTCAAACACCGACACCGACACCCACACCGGCACCGCCACCATTGGACTGTGAGCTATTCTTCTTCCAACTCCATAGGAAACTTTGAAATTACTAAAATTTTTGGACGGAGTTCGTAATTTGCAGTCACTTAAGAAGTGGTTTTCTATTCCCTGCCTGCTTTTCTATTTTTATTTGTTCGAAGAGATTGCTGTCAAGCAGAGCTGTTTTTAAAACCAGACCAACTGTCCGGTGGTTACTTGAATTCAGCCTGCAGATATGTCGCGGGTTGTGCAAATTTTGTATCTTATTTATTGGACTAAATAGAGGGATAAATTGTGGTGATCATGGGGATGTTGATCTACTCAAACTAGTGCAGATATGTTATGGTAAACAGTAAACAGTAGTTGCAAATAAGCAGGCAAAAATGTGACGAATCTCCAGTTAACTCATTTGATTGCTATTTTTTTATTGGTCTGTTTTATACTGCTTCAATTTGCCTTTTAACGCTTCTGATAGTTTCAGAGTAGATAAGTCACTGAAGAGACATTATTGCACTTTTTGATTTTTATTTATTTATACTTACTTATTTGGCATCTTGCTGTCTCAGCACAAGTGATAACCGCGCGGTCAGCACTGTTCTTAGTTTGCACGTCACCACCACACTTTGTAAAACAGTGGTGCACTTCGAACGCATTGGGACGAGCCATACACCTGATTCAGGATACGGTGCACAAATTATCTCTCATCGTATCAATAACATACGTTAAGAAAAGCTCGTCATGGCGCATGCTTCATTAAACATAGTTTCCGGCACCTAGGCGCAACAATATGCAGAGCTGGGTCCTTTGGGGGCCTTATTAAAGGCTTGATGCATCCGTGGGTGTGTCCATCCGGTATGCGAGCTCATGTGTAACAGCAGCGGAACCACTCCATGGCTGCATTAGCGCGACTCATGAAGGTGCCATTGAGAGAGTTGGGAACAAAATCTCCTGCTTGCTCACGCCACGGATCTCGACCTCTTTTTAAGGTGAAGATGTTTTAGTTCTTCGATTAAAGTAATTCATCGAGATAAACAAAAGTTGTTGAAGAAATCCAGCTTTACACAACACGGCTATGAGTTTTGGTTGTGGAACTGTTGATTTAGTGAGTTCATTCCTCTCGGAAGGGCGTGGCTCGGAGGAGTGGAGTCACTAGTTTCGCTATTTTCTCCTAGGATACTGGATATTTGTGTGATGATATAACGTTGTGCGAACATTCAGGAAAAAAGTGTCATCAGATATTTGGTTGGAAGCCATAACCCTGAACCTCATGCATCACTGAAAAACCTTGGCGACATGTGGCAGCGCAGACTCATACCGCCGTGCCCTGTTCTTTCATAATTTACGTGGTCTCCTCTATAATCTTCTAGATTGACCATTTTCTTCTGCGCTTTTATTTCGGTGGGCTTCTTAAAACTCAGCAGATCCGTACATAATTTGGACTTCTTTTGTCACAAGAATTCTTTTCAAATCAGTGAGAGAAAGAAATCACCGAGCACAGACAAATTGACCCGTTTACAGCTTACCAGACTCAAAACTTGCGTCACTTAAAGGCAGCGATTACGATAAGTGGGAGCGCATCGGGAAGCATATGCACCACACGAATCAGTTACTTGGCTGCCAGGGAAGCGAGGTGTGGCGCTTTCACGACGAAAGGTGCGCTGGTTGCTGAGCAGGACTTCGAAAGCACTCCGCCCCCAAAAGCGATCCGCCCACTAGTTTAGTTGGTGATTTGGACGAGCTGCGTTGCCAGCAGCGGCACAACTAAAGCAACTCGACTGGGCATGGATTGGCATGCTGTCACCAAACGCGTTGCGAACTCGTTCATACGTCCGCTTTCTGAGCTGTTACCTGTTCATGAGTGAAAACCAACGGCCAAAAAAGGGGTCCCGTTTTGCGTTTTCTTGACGGATTTCTCCGCTTTTTCGCTACTGGCGTACCACTGAGCACCACCAGTCTCCCATAAACCCTTTTTGAACCTATCGTAATCATTGCCTTCAAGCTGTTTTGGTTCCTTTTTTCAAAAAAATCCCACTTTCGAAATCATCCTGCGTTTTTATAAGATTAAAATCTCCTCGCCGGATTCATTTCGAAGCGATCAATCATTTGTCAGTTCTGAACGAAGTTAGCGAAAAATCAGAGAGCCGGTAATCTTTCGATTTCGTAATAGTGAAGCGCGAGTATTGGTAGAGATAAATGAGCGGTAAATGCCTTCCAGTTAACTTTACTAACTGTCATTCTTTTGTCTTAAGGACCTGTATAAGTTATTCTTTTTTTGCTTACAGTGAAACCTTTTCTATGAGAAGGATTCTCAGCCCAAGAAAAGAGGATGTCAGTGGCGTAAGTGAAGCAGTAAGCATCGATTGAAAGACCTTGAGTTTCAAAAAACCTGCGTGTCAGTCGCCAGTCTAATGTCTCTTGAAACACGTTCTGAAGTGTCGTCCACTTGAGTGGTGACGGATCACAGGGACGGATCGTCGAAAGATCTAACATTGATTTCGTGCTGTTTGCCAGCTATGCTCTACATTAAAACGATTCATATTGAAACGAGCCTCATATAAGTCGTAAACTTGAAGGAATAATTCTCATCAACCGATGTTACATCTCTTGGCTGTCGATCGTTGTACCGTAACGATCTGTCGGGGCGTTGCGACTGCGTGGGGGTTTCCGCTTTTGAATTCTTCGCGGCGCTATTATCATTCATCTCCTTCCTTTATATTCGCTGATCTAAAGCAACGTTAGCAATGCGCAAAGTGCGCCAATGGAGTGAGTTTGACTGGTGAGAAGTGGGAAGTGTGAGGTGTGAAAGTGGAACCACTAAAGAATCCAGACATATTGTTGTTTGTTTAGGCCGCAACCTCCTGAACAAGAAGGAAGGCGGACCACCTTCGACCATAAAGGAGTCCAGTGAATCGTCGCAAACGCTCGACGACAACGAATCCGACAAAGGTGATTGATGTGTAATTGACTCTCAGAAAATACTCATGCAAAATACCTTACCCCTTGTTTCCTTCCTATTTTTTGATCTCTGATCTCAATTAAGTGAACAAGTGCTTTCTGCTCTTTTCTCTTTCCTTTCCTCCTTTTTATCCTGGGGTGACAGTTAGACCTATGCTACAATTACGAGCTTTAATCTTCATATCTGCTTCCATTGAATTCTGGTGTTCTCATCTTTGTCTGTGTCCGTTGATGTTCATTGTTCCCTGCCGGTGTGCAGTTGTCCGTCTTGTCCTCAGTGTACGTTGGTTTTTGTTTACCGAAACTCGATGTTGATCAATAAACGTGTGGAGCCATGAAGTACATATGAGAAAGTGTGCTGCGTGTTGGGTCCTTCTTCTGTGCTTCTTCTAGAACGGACTCGGCTGAACTGCTCCAGCTCAGCTGAAGAGTAGTGCTAGTTGTCACCCTTCAGCACGGTTTGCTTCTATATTCCCGTAAATACACAGCACATTTTCGTATATGTACTGTTTTCGACACCCACACGTTTTCGATCTGTCTATCTTCCCATGTTCTCTCTTTCTCTCTTACTCTTCTAGTCTCAAATCTGCCACTTTCTTTTCCTTTCCTCCCATATGATTTTCACAATTTTCTCGATCTACATACACGTAGTGGTCTGAGGTTCTGGTTCTGTTATTATTTTTCTTCTTCTGTTACTCAGTTCGGCCGGCTTTCTCACTCTCGCGCAAAGTCGCCGTCCTAACCTGATGCTTTCTTTGCAAAAGCTTTTTTGATTACTTATGCAGCGGGAAACGGTGTGTGCAGCATTCTCTGATTCAGTTTCCCTTTTGACTTACTCATCTGAAGATATGGGATTGGGAAGGGAGGGGGTTCACTCTTCGATCACGCACGGGAACGTTTTGAAGCAACTGTTCAAGTCTGGAACATTATCCATGAAAAGAATGCTCTTCACCTTTTCAGAAGATGATCCAGTATAACTTTGACTGAAAGCGACAAAAATCTTTTTCATTAGAAATTACGAAATCCCATGGATGCCAAATTCTTCCCTTTCCCAGATTTTAAACCGGGTCGAGTAGCGATGACAGGATTCTTTAGAATTTTGCTTACTCCTTTCCTGCATAATCCAGTTCTTTCACATCCCCACTTTTACCTCTGCTTCTAAACTTCCGTCCAGGGTGAGGGATGGGGTAGAGAAATAGGAGGGAGAAATGAATGCCGTGGAGAGGAATGGTAAGACTCGTCATCTTTGAAGCCTCCAAAATCATCAAACGATAACATTAGTTGGCTGTTCATCCCACATTCTCGGAATCGTTCTTTATCACTTACACCACTAATATAAACGATCCTCCACTCATCGAGGATTCCTCAGCGAAAGGTTGACCTTTCAAGTTCAGTTCGAATTTTAATTTACTCTTCTGGATTTTATGATTCAAACGCTACGACTTTTGAGGAACGCTCGATCTCTGTCCCACCTGGAAAGCGCTTTCATTTCCTGTGCCAATTCGCTTACCAATTTCATATTGCACTTTTTTTGGGAGCCAAATATTTCTTGGGCCGAATAGCTATCGTCAGTTGATGGGTTTCTTTCGTTGAACACTTTTATGGTGCAGATCAATCCATGGCAGTCAATTAGTTGTCCATGTAATGAAATCTCGCAGGAAAACCGAGAAAACCATTCTCTTTATCGAACAGTAACTGGCATTTTCTGGTGCCTAGGCTAACTCCTCTTTTCCATACAGCACCGGCACCTTTCCGTCCGATAAGGTCGTGCATGGATCATGTTTTCGAGATTTTTGTACGTAAATGAAGCACGTCGAGAATGATGTGAAAGGTTTTCTGTATTCCTATTCAGGAAGTTGTTTGAAAAAGCAGTCCGGGGAACTGTATGCTTTCTTAATGTCATGCTAGCATTTTCCTTGAAGTCTGCGTCAGTCACCTGTTACACACCGCTTTTCCGCTGTCTGCTTGCTTTGTCTGTCCATTCCGTTATTTCGTTCTGTCCTTATCGGTACAGAAGACGTACGTTCGCGATGTCGCGTTGCGACATTGCAAACGTCTCTTGAAGCCTCAAGTCGATTCACCAATGGCATTGATGTATGAGTGTGTGTGCGTGTACGTCTGTTGATGGGTAAGTTGTTGTTGACTCGTCGGAAGGGATGATCTCGGTGATCGTAACCCAATGTGATACGAGATGCCTGCTAATCGCGGTTCGCACCTGCAGGCGGCGGCCAGCTGAAACACGAGAACACGGTGGTGCGCGCGGACGGAACAGCAGCGAAATCGGTGCCGTCATATCGTTATCAAGGCTATCTCATAACGCAATTTGCATAGCACACCGTTATTAATACTGAGTGATAGATGAACTGGACAGCATTTATACGCCATAAAATTGAGTAGCGTAGGTTTTATTTTCTTATTTTTTACTCTTCTCTTCCAAAATGGTTTTTTTGCGCTTCACTAGCATGCACTCGACATTTTTGGGACATGAGGAGCGTGCCAAGATAAGAAAGTGATGGACCCTCTTCACGGTGTTTTTCACTCTGGATGTCACGGTTTTTTGGAAATTTCCCTGGGAAATTTTGAAAAAAGTACGAGTTCCTGGTTAGCACACTGAAAATCGTATCAAAGATCTGTCATATATCTTTTTCATCCCCACCCCTCCTTCGCTCTGCTTTACACCAGAAATCGCGATGTGGTCGATTTTGTCTGCATCCCTGTCGTGCCCTTCCCTTTCTGAAATTCACTGGTTATCGTCAGAACTGATTTACCTCCAAGTCTTCGAGTTAGGGTAATTTGATTCTCTTCGAGCAAGGGCAACATGCCAGAATGTATTAGGAGCTATTTCTCACCTTCAGTTCCAAACGAACTTGCGTTGAAATACAACGCGTTGGCGAAATTGGTCAAACTACTGAAAAAGGTACTGTAAGGTTTTAGTGCTCTGGCCGAACCAGTCAGTTGTCAGCTAATCTCCAATTCCCGGTGTGTCCACTCCCTTTTTCTGAAACGTGTACTTTCTGGGGTTTACCACCGCTCAGATTCTTCGAGCACCTTACCAGGAAAGGCATTTAACTTCCCATGGAACTTTTAGTTAAGACCCAGATATATCGATAGAGCTTCAAACGCTGATTACAAATATGGAAACTAAAACTGCAAAATGAACCTGCCAGGCAGGGAAGTTGTGAGCAGCCAAGGTTGACTTTGAGCAGAGCGTAAGGTATTAACATGTTGACGACCGCCGTTATGCGCGCACTGCTTCAACATTTTTCGTATTCTCTCATCAATAGGCATTAATCCTTCAGCGTTTTCATTATCAGTAATGAAAAAATGTTTTTCGGATCCAATAATGTACATGGACCGTTGTGGAACAGAAAAAAAACGCCAAAAAATTAAGGAAAACTAGTCTGCTCCATGTGAAAGTGTGGTATGACATCACATACCACACGGTCGTCAACTTGTTAATCGTGCTAGCATCCGAGCTTTCAAACTCGCCGTGGAGTAGTGGTGGCGCTCTCGAAATTTCTATTCCAGCGGGAAGAGAACTTATGACCTTACGGGTGAAGAGCGAGGGCACTACTTCCGCGGCGACTCTGAAAGCCTGGATCCAGCACGGTTCATATGCAACGCTTTACTTTAGCCAACTTTGACTGCTCACAACTTCCTTGGCAGGTTCATTTTGCAGTTTTAGTTTCCATATTTGTAATCAGCGTTTGAAGCTCTATCGATATATCTGGGTCTCAATTCAAAGTTCCATGGGAAGTTGAATGCCTTTCCTGGTTAGTGTCCATGTACCGTCCTTCGCCTGCATATCCTGTACGCTCTTCTTGCTGTAGAAAGGAACGAAGAGCTCGCGTTAACCTGCTGCGCAAGCGCACCTTGTAGTAAAGTCCATAGACGCTGGGATGAGCAAATGCTGACGTGATTTTTGTAGTACGCTGCGCAACTTCACCAAATGTGGCAGTCTAAGCCAATATGCAGGGATTGCAGCGTACGCGAGCATCTTTTTATGAAAGCGTTGAAATGAGAACAAAAGATCGTTCACAATTATTTATTATATGGTACTCCTTCGGCATCTTTTAGATCAGCGATCATTGACAAGTTGAGCAAAACGACTCGAATGTTTTATATTTTGCCATTTTGGATGTTTAGATCTCAACTCATCTTTATAACGCTTTTGCATGAGGGTTTTGTTTCTTTCTCACTAGGAGGTCATTAGTTGAATCTCGGCGTCCTCCTCCCCCCTCCCTAAGAAGCGCGTAGAATGTACGGGCGAACAAGACAAATGGCGAGCAAAGGCTTAGTGAGCTTAGTTTTTGGGTCTCTGGCCCTGCAGCTATCATTCTTGACGGAGCTGTCAAAATTTGACTGAAGCAAAAAACGCTGGCTTTCATCTCATGCGAGCATGCAGTAATGATCTAACAGGAACATGCTGCTTCAAATCCGACTATAAACAGCTCGGAACTATACTACTATGCTATCGTTGAAGTGCTTAAATATCTGGAGCCATCAGGATTACTTGAGTGGAAGAGCCTTCCGAGCAACTTCTTGTCTTTATCCGGAAGAGAAAGTTGTTGCTGAGCACTTTTTCAGCCTGAATCCGTAGCATATTTCCCTCCAAAACTTAGAGCTTTTGAGTGGTTGAAAAGATGTTCAGCTATCTATTTTCAATTGCTGATTGATGCGAGAGGGTCAGTATTCTCCAAGTTGACTGCAGTGGTTCAAGGCAAACTAGCGTCTTTCATAATAATCTCCTGCATGTACTGGGGTAGGGCCAAGAACAGTCATTTCACCCATGTCGCCCACAACTTTTTGTCGCTCAAAGTGATGGAATTTCATGGCAACGCAATATTCCTTACGTGTTCCTTTCCCCCCCCCCCCATGTGGCAGAAGCAGGCCTTACACCTTGACGGGGTGCTTCACAGAGACAGTCACTCTAAATGACATCCCTTCCTACCCGAGTGTTAGATAGGTGCCCCACGATTGGTCGAGCATCTCCTTTGGGCTTGAGCCGTGTTCCCGAAGCAAGTTCTCCTGATGCCGTCGGTGTGGGAAGGCTGTCATGGAAATTTGATAGTGCGGAATGTGCTCTTCACTTTTCAGTTAGGATCATTGGAACTGCTTTTTTGAAAGTTTTCTCAGTTCCTTCCTCCTGGCAAAAATTATGATGCAAATCTGTTCACGCCATAATTTGCTTCATGATTTGAAAGCTCCAGGCCAAAGACCGGATACATGCAGGGAGGTCCTCTAAATAAGCAGTCGATCTTACCAAACGTTAGTTATCCAGGAATTTCGGCAGAAGCAAACAGAGAAGGTGAAAGTAAACGTAAACGTTAACGCCTAAGCTAAGCTGGTGGGGGTCATGTTAATCGCAAAGCTTCTGAGCAGTGTACGCTTACAATTTGAGTAGGGTCACGGGAAGGTTTCTGAAAAACTTCTGTGAGCACCCTGACCTTGAGATTACTCAATTGGAAGGGACTATGTGAAGCTGTAGCTTCAAATACCATTTTTGAATATTTATGGATGTCCCAGTGTGCGAAATCCAACAAAATCAGCAAGTAGCCTGACAAGGAAGGGTCAGTTGATCAGTACGGCCATTGAAATGAGATGTTGACTTTATATAGGGTGGACACAAATTACGGTAACAAGATAAAGTGATCACAGAAAATCTATACAGCATCAGATGATAATCGGAAAACGTAGCTATATCTGTTGATGGATAATAAGCAGGGAACAGGGTTACTTCCCAATGGCCGATGACTACGTTGAAAAAGGAGCGGAGTAGTCCACGCGACCATTCATAGCAGCGTTTTAGTGGTAGTCGGAGATTTATCCTGGGCAGGAGTTCGGGAATTGGGTCTTTCCGCGCTAGTGAGTCCTTCTTTTGAGAGATTTCCTGGAACTCTATAGCCTACGGTCGAAATTATCTGAGTCTGATTTTGAAAATTACATGCGGCTGCTCTTGTTACCGTAATTTGTGGCCACGCTTGAGCCACGGTCAACCGTCGCGTTCGCACTTTTCCAAGAATTTCGCGTCTCCCCACCGCCACATCAGCCTTGGAGGGTTCACCGTAAATCACCGACCACCATTGTCATCATGACTGCTTCTATGGTGTGATTCCTAGTCGACACAGCCCAACTTTCCGCCCACTTTCCTCTGGAACGGCCGTCGAGCGGGGCAGGAGGAGGGATAGGGAGGCTAACGATCCTCTCTCCCGAAACTACAACCTCCCATACACTTTCTTCTTAAGCATGTCTTACCTTTCTCAACCCCAGGTACAACCCTTCCCCCAAAAAAATCACGGATGCGACCCCCTCATTCGAATATGGCGAAGGAAGGTTAATCCTGCCCTGTACCTCGTCCCATGTACAGGGCAGGGTTTTAGTAACTTTCGACGTACTGACGCCTCCGGACGCCCAGCTAAAACCTGCTTTCGTCGTCTGCGGATCTAATTCCTTGAAGAAGTTTAGAAGCTGGAAAGCGCAGCGGTAGTGACTTTGACAAGTTGTAGGTACACAAAATGGACTAGCATGCGAATCCGTATTTTTGTTCTTTTCATGAATACAGCCAGAAAGGTTTTCAGGAAATTTTCACAAAAGCAAAAGCACGATCTTTTGTTGGAGTCAATCCCATGACCTCTTGCCTGTGAGTCACAGTCACCAACGCTGCGCTTTCCTGCTTCTTAATTTCTTTCAGGAATTCGATCCGCAGGCGCCGAGAGCATATTTCAGCTCAGCGCTCCGAGGCACGTATAGTAGGGATAAGCATCTCTTTTCATATGCCGTACTGACCGATTGACCTTTCATTACGTTCATGGTATGAGAAAGGACTCTGTTATATGAGGACGTAAATGAATTTCCTATAAATTCAGCACCAATCGATGATATATATATTTTCCCACGTCGATAGCTTGGACGGCGGAACGAAATGGCTTGTTTTCCATTACACTTGTGTACATTCATTTCCCGTCACTTTTATTGAGACCGGTTGTGCCCATTCAGCCATGTAAACTTATTCGACAGTAATAGGACTTGATATTGTTGTTATGGTAGGTGTGTAAATAAGACCCGTACCTTTCAGCCGCGAATCGTGCCCCGCTTGTGTTGCCAAAAAGATAGGAATGATCACTCGAAAGCCTCCCATTCTTTGGTGCGCACTCGTTCTTCGCCAATCAGTAGTGCAAGAAGGATTCCAATAATGGTGTATTCATGTATGGGCTTTTTTGGAAGTTTTCTCAGTTCCTTCCTCCTGGCAAAAATTATGCAAATCTGTTCACGCCATAATTTGCTTCATGATTTGAAAGCTCCAGGCCAAAGACCGGATACATGCAGGGAGGTCCTCTAAATAAGCAGTCGATCTTACCAAACGTTAGTTATCCAGGAATTTCGGCAGAAGCAAACAGAGAAGGTGAAAGTAAACGTAAACGTTAACGCCTAAGCTAAGCTGGTGGGGGTCATGTTAATCGCAAAGCCCTAGATATGTTTCGCAGAAGCCAAGGCCTACCACGATACCACGAGATTCGGTGTGAATAACAGATGGGTTGGTTTTTTGAAGCGTGTGCAGGTCAATCATTGCAAGCTCGATGTGATGTGGTGTGAACAGACGAGCAGAAAAAGCGCTATCAGTGAAGGATGGCTGCTGAAACGCAAGAACCACCCGATGACACGCCTCCTGGATGGTTATTCACCCAGCGCGACACCTGACCCTGCTGTTTCTTTCGGGTTCACACCATATTCCATCTTTTCCCACTCGCTGCGGCCGGCGCAGCCGTTCCTCCTCCTCTAAGCTCTTCGCGAATTTCGTCGCCATTCATTGGTACCCCACTCTCGCCACTCGACGCCGCCACTGTTCCGCTTTTATGAGATGCGAACAACGGCCTCAAGGCAACGATGAGTATAGGTATTCTTCTCGATTGTCGTCTTTTAAGCTTTAGTGTTTATCCTTTTTTGCCGGTGAGGCTTTTTAGCTTTACTTTTACTTTCGCGCTCTATGCTTCCCTTGTACCCTAATGTGTCCCGTCGGTTTCTATTTTTCTCAGGCAGAATAGGTTTCACAGAGGAATCAGCGCTTGACTTTCCCGTAGTTTAAGCGAGAGCTTTCCTGAGGCTGTCAATCGAGATTGTTGTTGTGGTAATTTGAGCAGATCCCATCGCAGTACATCCTCTCGGGGTGTATAGGAAAAGGGTTTGCTAAAGAGGCTTGAGCTGTGATCACGCTTATCCTGGTCTTGTTTTTTCATTGAGTGGAGACATAGTCCATGGAAGGAAAAAATGGAGCAGCCTGATGCCCAATAGAAAACGCTGTCTATATGTTTACGCATCGCGCTCGAAGAGGCACTAAAACTCCGACTTTTATGGTTATGACGTCAACACAGCGCAGCTTTCATGTTTGCACACAAAGAACATGTATTTTGAAATTCTCCAAAAACTTGGTTTCCCAAGTAGCCCAGTCGAGACATAGGTTGACAAGAAGAACCTTTTACCCTAATTTCTGGTCGGTGGTGATCTCCTGCTCATTTCTTCACGCCACGAGCATGCAGGGATTTGCTCTTCTGTCATAAGGCCTCATTTATCCAGTCCGAGGGTCAATCAGTATCGACTAATGACGGGAAATATGTTGGAACTATGTATGAGGTCTTCTCTAGCTGGTTTAGAGCTTGAATAATGCCCTTGAATCGGAAAATTTGTGATATCGATTAGAAAGAAAGTGAGAGCTATCACTTATACCCTCCGAATCAAATTGCCATTGTATTGGGCAAAAATTAATTTGTATATGTGTTTGTCAATCACGAAAGGTGGACGCCGTTTTTTCACTCTGTAACGCATGGTGTGTGCATCTTAGTTGTAGTGACAAGAATTTTTCATAAATCTCATTCAGAATCTCTAACGAATTCATATTGATTCAGTGTCACGTTGTTGTCGATTTCAGCTCAG